TAAGAGGAACATAATGTAGGTGACACCGCCGGTGTGGCGACCACCTATATTGACACCAATATTGATAACTGCTGGGAGAACACTCATGGCTATGGTCCGTGCGAGCCCTCCAAGACCGCGCTGGAGTGCGGCGGCCTGTTGGGAGGGCGTCATGTTGCCTGTGGTCACGTTGATCCAGGCGTGTACCTCGCGGACAAACTCGCGAAATGGTACTTGACCGGCAGGATCCCAATGGGGGCTGGTCGTCCTAGTGTCGTCTCCGCCCTGCGTATGTCCCACCGCACATCCAAGAGCGACCCATATGGGCCGAAAGATAGCAACCCCAATCCAATGGCCTCGTAGGTCGTAGTCGGGTGTAGACGGTGGAGACTCGTGTTTTGTCGTCGTAAGTCTGCGAGGGGTCGGATGCGGCAGTATATCGTGTCGCATGTTTCCATGCATTATACCTTCGAAGAAATTTCCAATTGGAGTAGGTGGGTGGACTTCAGGAGTGTAATAGCGCAGGGATGTAGAATATGAGTAAGAGACCTCCGCTGGAGCAGAGGTGTCGCTGCAAGTTTCTTTGCGGTACTGCGTATCTGTGTACATTCCTCCGCGCAGTGCCACTGCACCCTGATGTTCCACCGTAGCTGTAGTCCACCAGATAGTGCCGTGGATGGTGAGGAGTAGAGCTAGAGCTGACCACCACAGGCCAGCTCCGCTACCAAGTTTGAAAAGGGCTGGGGGGGCCCGCCAACAGCTTCGCCTCAGGCGAAGCCAAGCTTCAGCTCGGTTGTATCGTAGTAACGATAGCCCCGATGCAAGAGGGGATGCCATGCCAAGTAAAAGGGGATGACTTTTAGTCTCGATAGCGATAGTGTGCCTCGCGGTGAGGCACAGTCAAATCTAGGCGGCCTGCCGCTTTGAGCCAAGACGGCCGCGGGCGCACGCTCGCTTCCGCTCCTTACGTCCCCCAGCTCGCTTTAGAGTCACGAGACCTCCAAAAGGTCCTCCAGAAGGCCCGAAGAGGTGAACATCATTGATGTTCCTATGGTTTTTGAAGGATTTTGGCATTTGCGCCTTTTCTGCTTTCCGACAGCCCAAGACGGCCCAAGAGGCCCTCAAGGTCGCCCAAAGATCGCCCAAGAGGCCTCCAAGATGGCCCCAAGACGGCCCAAGAGGCCTCGAAGATGCCCAAGATGGCCTCTACGACGGCCCTGGAGCACCCCAAGAGGGCCCCAAGTCGGCCCAGAAAGGCACCCCAAACGGCTTCCGACGGCGTCAGACGGGCCAGGAGCCCACCAAGACGGCCGAAGATGGCCCGCAGCTGGCCCAAGACGGCCCAAGAGGCCTCCAAGAGGGCCTCCAGGAAGGCCAGAAAAGGCCTAAAAGAATTATTTTCCGAAGGTTTGTTTCAAGGATTGCGATATTTGCTTCGGTTCGGCCTATGGCCCAAGAGCCCCCAAAGATCGCCCAAGGATCGCCCAAGAGGCCTCCAAGACGGCCCCAAGAGGCCCCCAAGGCGGCCGAAGAGGCCTCCAAGACGCTCAAGATGGCCTCCAAGACGGCCCAAGAGCCCTCCGAGACGTCCTTCGAGAAGACCCGAAAGGGTCAAAATGGCCTCCAGGCGGCCAAGATGACATTCAAGATGCCCTCGTGTTCCCCGAAGGCTTTCCAAACCGATTCGGGGAACACATGGTCCGATAGGATAGCTTGGCAGGTCTGGCCTCAACGTTCGGCCACATAGGAGCTTCCACAAAGCCAGGGGGCAACGGTGATTCGCCGTAGGCGTCTTCGATCCGCCGCCTCCTGTCGATTCATCGCAAGGGTGCCTGGCGTGCTGAACCTTCTCACCAAGACGGCCGAAGATGGCCCTAACATGGCCCAAGACGGCCCACGGGGCCTCCAAGAGGGCCTCCAGGAAGACCCGAAAAACAATTGATTCCACATGAGTGTTTGAAGGATTGTGGCAGTGGCTTGTTTGTCGGCCTTCAAACTGCCCGAGACGGCCACAGTACCCCCAAAAATCGCCCAAGAGGCCCCCAAGACGGCCCCAAGGGGCCCCAAGGGGCCCCCAAAGCGGCCCAAGAGGCCTCCAAGACGCTCAAGATGGAATCCAAGACGGCCCAAGAGCCCCCCAAGACGTCCTTCGAGAAGACCCGAAAGTGTCAAAATGGCCTCCAGACGGCCAAGATGACCTTCAGCATGCACACGTGTCCCCCGAAGGCTTTCTAAACCGATTCGGGGAACACATGATCCGATAGCTTGGCAGTTCTGGCCTGAGGCGCCAATGACGGCCGACGATACCTCCACGAAGGTTTCACAGGGAGGCCCAGGAGCGCCCCAGGACTGCTCAAGAGCGTTCCACGAGGACCCAAGATGGCCTCAGAACGGCCCAAGAGGTCTCCAAGACGCCTCTGAAGGGTTTCAAGAGACCCCCAAGAGGGCCGCGAGACACAACAAACATTTGTTGTTTTATATCGTTGACTCAAACGTGTTGGTCGTCTCGCTGTTGTCGGGCCTCCGAGCGCTCAAGAAGAACCCACATCGCCTCAAGAAAACCAAAGAGACCTCCAAGACGAACCAGACAGGCCCCAAGAGAGCGCCCTTAGAGTGTCCCAAGACGGCCCAAAATGCATCCAAGACCAACACGGCCCATGAGGGCCCCACGACGGCCAAAGAGGCACTGAGACGGCCAAGAGGCCCCCAAGAGGCATCCAAGACGGCCCCCAGGAGGGCCCTAAACCCTAATCTCTAAAAGCCCTGAACGTCATTAAACAACGTAAACAAACACCCCCCTCAAAAACGTAGTGAAAACATGGTGAAACCTAGACGCGATCCTTACAAACACAACAAACAACATAGAACAACAAAACCACGCATAGCAAAACACAACAAACCATACAACAGCCCATCAATCCTTATAAACCAAAAAGTAGTACAAACCGTTGCAAAACAAATCAACGCCTAGCAACCCTACACATCATATACACAACCAACAACAGAACACTATTACCATAAACGTCCCACACGCTCTAAAAACACGAACACTCCTAAGCACACTAACAACCATAACACACTCTAACCATACTAACGACCATACAAACATGCAACACACCCTAACCACCCGACAACCCTCGACGACATAAAAAAACACGTACACCATAAACCAACGCATACACAACATAAAACAACATACACGACAGAACAACCATCACAACAGCCGAACACCACTGAAACGCATAAGCCCTAAAACCCCTGACTATCATAACACACCAGACACACAAGAAACCTATACATACCCGAACGCCTTGAACACCAGAAAGCAAATACTACAAACCCTACACGACCCAAGCCCCGTAAGAAACCAACATAACACCATTAAACAACCCAGTGCACACTCTAAACACCATAGCAACCACCCTCACCACCTTGAGACGCACAAGGCTCATTAAACGCAGCCACAACCAGAACACAGAAGGCACACACAGTAAACATCAGACACAGGCACAATAACACCCTTCTTTTTATCAAATACAGCACGCTGCACACCTTATGAACCATACAAACCGTTAAACCACCAACACCATTCAACAACACCATACAAACCGTTCAACACAAACCCTCAAACCATAACCATCCCACACGCCATAAACAAGGCACGAACACCCATAACCACACTAAAAAAACATGCACACAACCCTAAACACCCGAATGACCATACAAGCATACACGAACAACCAGACAAACAACAACGAACGCCTTAAGCACCATAACACCCACAAACATTATACACCACACATACACACCATAAACCAGCACCATATAGACCAGAACACCTATAACAACCCCCGAAACATACTAAGACCCAAACAGCCCTAAACATCCTAAGCGCCACAAACGAAACCACACACACACACAACAGCACTATAAAACAACCTAACAGCAGGGAGCAACATAAAAGAAACCATAGGAACCTTGCAAAACCTGGTCACCACAACAAGCACTGAACATCATCACACACACAATGAACCCATGAGCCCATACACAATACTTAAAGCCATACAAGCAACAAAATAACTTAACAACCATCCACACAATTAACAACACCCAGACAGCCATACAAATCATACAATCCGGACCGCCATAACACAAACACTAACAACACCATACGAACCCTAAACGCCCTACAAGCCATAAGCACCATACAACCCTGAGCACCCTACACAAACACTGAACATCCGATCCAACATGTCACAAAACCATACAGGCCACACACACACCAAAAACACCGTAACGACCATACAAACAATACATGACCCTGAAAACAACATACACCATACAACCCCTAAAACATCTAAACACCCTACCAACTATGTTCAAATAACGCAACAACCATCACCCATACGGAAACATCATAACAAAATAAACTAAACCATATCACCTAAAAACCAGTATTAAAAAGACCCGACGGCCCAGTGATGGACACACCTTTGACGCCATGGCTCCCCAAAGCTCCAGGGGGACTGGAAAGCGCTTTCTGCACGAGTTGGCGATGTACGCAAATTTGTATGTACAGCAATGCTCCCAATAGCAAACAGTTGCGCAAGAAGCTCTTCATGCCCAGATTCCCAACTGCAAGCAGTGGTGTGAACAGCTCTGAACACCAAGGCTCTCAAGAGCGAAGGGTGATGCGAAACAGCTCTCAACGCCAAGGCTCCCGAGAGCGAACGGTGACGTGAAAAAGCTTTTGACGATACCGAACAATGCCCCGAAGCCTCTCGGACAAAATCCTGAAACGCTCTTTGCGTGTCCCGTGCCAGTCCATGTCTAAAATCTCTCGGCCTCCACCTTCCCAGACTCCTTCGTATAATCCTACGCCTCCTCCTCCTCCTCCTCCACCTCCTCCCCCCATCCCATGGAGCGCATCCCTCATGGATTCTAGAGGCTGTGGGATGGTGATGAAGGAAGAGGAGAAGACTGAGGACACGGATGGGAAAGATCAGCAGAAGCCCCCCCGATTGATTTCTTCTCCCAACTGCAACTAGTGCCAGCCAACTCTGATGCCCACAGCTTGGCCACCCCCTCAAATGCTAGTACATCACACGCACGCGGACGCCGTAGGTACATCACCTTAGTCACACGGGCCACACTCGACACAAACGGCTCCCAGCCAGGGCCCAGGTGCCGCGAATTCTGATCACCAGAGCGGAACGGCTCACTTGCGGGCGGCGTAGAGTGCCTTCGCTTTGGTGTACAAAGCCTTTCCTTCCACCTTCTTCCCATTGATGGCTACGAAGCCCTTGAGGTTCAGGGCCTTCCTCGCCTGAGCGACGCACTCATTCCACGCCTTAATGTTGCTGTACATCTTCTTGCCGGCTGCAGACTGCTTCTTCGAGACGATTTTCCCTTTTGCGTTCTTCATCAGCTTGTCCTTCGTGAGGCCAGTGGAAGTTTTTTCCTTGGTGCCACGAAGCACCTGTGCGCGCCCAAGTTTGCCCTTGGCAACCTTGCTGACACGCTTTGCTTTCATGGCTTTCATGCTCTTGGTGGTGCTCTTCATGGTAGTGCTCTTCATCGTGGTGCTCTTCTTCATGACCGAGGACCTCATCTTCGGCAACGCCATGACCACCCAAGGTCAACGGGCTGGCGCGCTCTCTTGCAACAGGCTCGACTGCACCCTTGAGTCAGCCCTTGAGCCCACATGGTTATGGGGCAACTGCTAGCCGCTGGCCTATCCGAGTGAACGGCTGCTACCAACAAGCCATACACATCACGCAAGGCCTGCAAAACTAGAAGCGCACGCGCCGACACACCATACTCAGTTTGCCGACGCGGGCCCAAATAATAGGGCATTGTGGAAGGTCCATGTGGTCTCCCAGACTGGGTTTTACTTCGTGCGTCCGACGTGACAGTAGCTCGAAATATCGAGCGAGTAGGCGACAGGCTGAACATACATATTCCTGGAAACATCGGATGGCATATCCCCCCGCGTCCCCGATCTTGTTGGGCCCTTGGAACGTCAAGGCATTAAATCAAACATTCGGTATGTAATGTGTTTACCGTTTCTGGTTCAATTGGTTTGACGTTTCCTCCGCCGTTGCTTCACCGTTTCGTTTCATCAGGTGGGGGCCTGGTCCAAATCACAAGTCGTGTTATCAGATCTTAACCATTTTCGAACCGGTTCCAAATGTCCTTCGGACCCATGGGCTGCCCAGGCCATTTTGGTGTACCGCTCTTTATCCAGAAAAATAGAGGAGCAGTGTTGTCGCTGCCGTTTTTCGCTCAAGTCAGAACTAGGAACCGGTTACAAATCTACCCTGCCGTTTCCAGGGCCCACGAAATCCCCGATGGGCTCTCGCTTTCTCCTCGCATCCTTCCTCCTCCTCACCCTGCCGCACCCTCTGCCCCCCGCCCCCTGCTCCGCGCATCCCAGGCGGTCAGAAATTTGTGTTTTTGTGTCTGCGAACTGTGAGCGACGAAAACAATAAGGGGGACCAGGGATACACAATTAAATGCACACTAATCCAAGGATTCCCCATATTTTCTAATATTTTCAGGGTTTCCGTCTTCCCCCCGACTTCCTGTTCCTCTATTTTCCGCGGAATCGACGATTAATTGTGTCTATGTGTCGTTTCACTCCTGAGCGAAGCTGGTCTTACGCGAGAAGACGTGGCGACCTTACTCGGCGGCTTACGCTTGGCGCCAGCGTGGCCTGCTGCACTGGAGGCGAGGGCGCTTCCGCGCGACTCTGCGTGGGCACGCGCGAAAGCCCACGACGACGGACCCGCTTTCGTCGCGTCGCCCACCCAGGAGACACAGTCCCTTCTAGCCAGTCCTCAGACGGCCGCCCTGGCGTCGCCCAAGGGAGGGCTTCGGCGAAGGTCCTGCTCGTAAGGGGCGAAGAGGAGGTCCTCCCGAGAGACGGGGCTGCCCCCTCGGAAAGCCGTCCTCCCGGCCACGAAACTGTGTTCAACACTGGCTCCAAGACATTTTTCTTAGGGGCCCGCTGTGGTCCAGCTTCCCAGACACCCGACATCCTGATTTGTTCAGCAGTCCCAGCCCATCCCGGGGGGCTGGCCTCTCATCCCGCGCCGACCTCTGACGGCCCCGGAGGCCGGCGAGGAACCGCGGAGGCCATAGATGCGAGGCGGGGGTATATCCACGTCCGCCGCCTGTGGTACCGACGTTCTGGGACCCCAGCAGGCGGTGGATCTGGATATATCTGGTCACCAGAGGGCCCGAATAGGTCCGCATCCACCGCCCGTCGAGGTCTCCGACACTCGATGCTCCAGGCGGTGGATATGTGTAAATCCCCGCCTCGGAGTAAACCGCGGGAAGCCTGCATCGGGTGTTCTTCCATTGCGTTGGGGGTCCGGAGCTTCCGGCCCGCGTGCAAAGCCGTGGGGTGAGCTCGGGCATGTCCCCCTACAGGGGGATATTGGGCGAAAAATAATTACTCCGACGGTAGGACCCCACATGATAATCTGTTTAGCTTGCCTGGGGATCTCCTCCTGCCCCCTCCCTTCTCCCACCTATTCCTGCCTCATCCTTCTCCTGCTGCCTGCTCCTCATCCTGCCTCAACCCCTGCCCCCTCCTCCTCTTGCCTTCTCCACCACCTCCTGCTCCTTTTCCTCCTCCTCGTTCTGCCTCCTCCCCCCATTCCCCCTGTTCCCCCTGCCTCCTGCGTCCTCCTCCTCCTGCTTTCCCTCTCCCTCCTCCTCTTCCTCCTCATCCTCCTCTTCCTCCTCCCCTCTCCCGCCTCCTCCTCTCCCTCTCCCTCCTCCACCTACTCCTCCTCGTCTCCATCCTCCTCCCCCTCCTCCTCTCCCTCCTCCTCCTCCTCCTGTCTCCTCCTGAGGCCTCCTGCCTCCTCCTGGGGCCTCTTGGGGCCTCCTGGAGCCTTCTGGGCCTGCGGGGACATCCTGGGGCCTCCTAAGGCACTCCTCTTCCTCCGTGTCCTCCCGGGACATCCTTCTCGACCTCTGCCTCCTCCTCCTCCTCCTCTTCCTCCTTCTCTTTCTCGTCCTGCATCCTCCTTCCTCCTTCGTCGTCGTCGTCGTCCTCCTCCTCCTCTTCGTGAAGAACACGACCCAGAGGAAGCGCACGACGTGCGTCCCAAAAGACGCGCCGGAGGACGACCCAGAGGAAGCGCGCGCCGGAGGACGACCCCGAGGACGACCCGGAGGAAGCACTGCAGGTGCGGGCCCCATAAGGAGAGAGCTCCCGTCTGAGATTTCCTCGCAATTCACTCACAAACGAAGCTCCCGCCGGATACTTCCTCCATATTCAAGCCCCAGGAGCCCAAACGTGACGACAGTTGCAAAATTCCGATGACCCGCCTCGAATTAAAAAACATGAGCTGCGGGACTCATACGGAAGGGGCTCCGGCCTGAGACCTTCTCGCAATTCGCTCACAAATGAGGCTCTCGCCTGATATTTCCTCCATATTCAAGCCTCAAGAGCCCAAAAGTGATGACAGTTGCAGGATTCCGATGACCCGCCTCGGATTAAAACATAAGCTGCGGGCCCCATGAGGAGGAGGCTCCCGCCTGAGATTTCCTCGCAATTTACTCACGGACGAAGCTCTCGCCTGATACTTCCTCCATATTCAAGCCTCAAGAGCCCAAACTTGACGACAGTTGCAAGATTCCGATGGCCCGCCTAGGAAAAAAAACATGAGCTGCGGGCCCCATAATGAGGGGGCTCCCGCCTGAGACTTCCTCGCAATTCAATCACGGACGATGCTGTCGCCTGAAACTTCCATCATAATATTCAAGCCTCAGGAGCCCAAAAGTGATGACAGTTGCAAGATTCCGATGACCCGCCTCGGATTAAAAATATAAGCTACGAGCCGGCCTCTTGAATCCGATTGGGGGCCTCTTGGACTTCCCGAGAACCTCTCGGGGTAGAAAGCTCGGATTCTCAGTTCGTGTTTCCCTTCTTGGGCCTCTATTGGGGCCGTCTTGGGGCCCTCTCGGGCCTTCTTGGGCGCCTCAGGCACCGCCTTGGGGCCCTCGTGGGCCGCCCAGGGCCCTCTTGGAAGCCTCTTCGGCTATCTTGGAGATGTCTTGGAGGCCTCTTCCTCCTCCTCGTCCCCCTCCTCCTCCTCCCACTCCAACTCTCTCTCCTCCTGATCTTCGTCCTCCTCCTCCTGCAGCGTGTTCCGGAAGGCTCCCGCTGGAACATGGTGTGCAGAAGTGCTGTCACTGCTCCCGCCACTGTGCCCTGGGTGGTGGGTCAGAGGCCTCATGGGTGTTGGTTTGGATCTCGTGGTTGGCCTGTCGGGGACGTCGTGAAGGCAGTTTCGCAGCTTCTCGGCAGCCGTTTTGGGACCGTTGTGGGGCCTCCTCGGGGCTGTTTTGTGGCCTCTCAGGCCTCGTTTGGGCCTCCTGGGTGTCTCTTGGGGGCCTCCTGGGGCCTCTTGGGGGCTCCTTGGGGCCTCCTGGGGCACTCTTCAAGCGGGAGGGTCGAATTTTGGAGTCGTGGTCCCCCTCTTGGGGCCGTCTTGGGGCTCTGTCGGGCTGTCTTGGGCGACTCTGGGGCCGTCTTAGGGGACCTCTTGGGCCGCCTTGGGGCGCTCTTTGGGGGCCTGGCACGTCAGACAGCCGAAAAGGCTGGAAGGCCAAAATCATTCGAAAACCTTTCTGTAAAATTTATGATTTCGGCCTCTTGAAGCGCTCTGGAGAGGCGTCTTGAAGCGTCGTGGAGTGCCCTGGGGGGCCCCTCGGGCCGTCTTGGGCCTATCCTGGGCGCCCTGGAGCGGCCTTTTTCGGCGCCTCGGGGCCCGCCTGGGCCGTCTTGGGAGCCTCTGGAGGCCCTCCTGGACTATTTTGGACCTCCCCGGCCGCCCCGTCTTCCCGCGGGGGGTCGGAGGCGGCGGCCTCCGAGGCCCCGGGCGCCGAAACCCTGTAAAAGCACAGGGAAAGCGACGCCGGGTACTCCCAGGCCCTGTCGGGGCAGCGCGCCCGGGCGCCCGGGCGTCGTGCCCCAGGATATATTATATATATATATATATATATATATATATTATATATTTATATTATATTATATTATATTTATATTATATTATATTATATATATTATATTATAGTATATATATATATATATATTATATATATTATATATTATATTATATTATATTATATTATATATATATATATATTATTATATTATATATTATATTATATTATATTATATTATATTATATATATATACATACCAACACCTGCGAAAATGTCAGACTCGTAAAACAACAATGTTTAAACAACGCTACGCCGAAACCCGCGAAGCATTCAAACTCTAGAAAATCTTCAAACAACTCTAAGCCGAAACCTGGGGAAATATCAAACCAAGAAAAACCGTAACACCGGAACTCTGAAACAACTCTTAAACACTGCAAAACAACTCTAAGCAAAGTCTTAGAACAAAAACTCTAAACGCCTAGCAACTCTGAAAACCATCTAAAAACCCTACACAACACTCTCAACGCCAAACAACTATAGATAATCTCTAAAACAACTCCAACAAATGCTGAAACAAATTGTGGGAAGACTCTTTAAAGCAACTCTAAACAAATGTCTGACCGCCTGGCGAACTCAAAACAAAACCCTGGAAACAATCTAAAACTGCGGCTTAAATGTTGAGATGTTCGCAAGTTTTGGCTGAGCTGTGTTGAAGTTTTTTACGAGCTTGATAGTGTCGCAGGTGTTGAGAGTTTGAGATTTCTGAGAATTTGATTGTTCTGAGATTTTGAGTTGGAAATGTTCGCAGGTGTTGAGAGTTTGAGATTTTGAGTTTGAGTTTTTTGAGTAAGAGATATGGTTTGATTTTTGAGAGTTTGAGATTTGCGCAAGTTTTGGCTTACAAT